AGAAGCTTTTCCTTCCCCCTGTTGCTAAGTGCTTGCTCATAGTGGGTCATCTGAGGTTTTTTCTCCATTATCGTAGAAAGACTACTATACTATATTATTGTCAAAGGAGCTTGCAAAGAAAAGCGTCTGGACTTCTTTAAGTTGCTTGAAGACGTTTCACCTCTCATCCTAGAAGCTTCTTCAGTTCTAAGGTCAAATGGTGGAGAGTCCCAGATATAAACCTAGTGGGACTATCCCCCCACAGAGGGACAAAAGGACCCCCTGATGATCCTCTAATCGCCTGAGCCAAGGTGTGTAACTGGGTGTGGGTCCCAATCAGCCAGAGTTTTGGGTGTGTTCATTGTGAAACCTGGCCCCACCTTATCATGCGAATTCCTGAGGTCAGATGGCCCAGGATGTGAGTGGGCGTTAAGGCGTCTGGGGAGGGATCTCAAAACTATATAATATAATATAATATAATATAATATAATATAATATAATATCAAGCACCCTGAGGAGACTTTTGTTGTGATTTGGTGCTATGTAAGTCAAATTGAACTGAAAAAAACTCAAACATATACAAACAGTGGGATGATGCAATGTAGAGATCTGCTCCAGGTTATGAACCATAGAAGAAGAAATTAAGTTTTCAACAACAGGTGAAGCCAGGAGGCAGCAGATGATGCTCCGTGGTGAGACGGCATCACCAAAGCGCACCCTCCCTGTTGCAGACTTTTCACCTCAGAGTTACATCTCTGGGCCACACAGGGCCTCTCCTCACACAGACAATGGAGCCCCTATCCCGCAACTAATGCAGAATAAAGGCCTGTCTTTGTCCAGGAGCACTGTAGTCAACACGCATCTACCTCAGCTGCAGCACAGGCCTCTGGTGACCCACAGTTAGTACCAGGGACAGAGCTTCATCTCACCTACAGGCTGTTATTAGTTTTATGCAGATTCTAATTGTAATCTCTTTTATTTGTAATGTTATATGTGATTTCAAAGTTTACACAGTCTGATTAACACTGAACTTTAAATAGTAGTGCTGCTGTCCCGTACAAGCATCTAAATGTTTAAGCATTACATGATCTAATCAGGGGCGAGGAAAAAGAAGTTTCCCTATTTGCAATAATAACTGAAAGGAGTAGCATAGCCTGCCCTTCATGTGAATTTATTACAGCACATTATTTTGATTTTACAGCCTACGTTTGTCGTAGTCTCAGCTGAACATTTGGCACTGCTAAATAGGGCTGCTCGATATAACGATATATATCGGATGACGATATAAAAACATCTATCGTTTCATTTTACGCTGTCGTTTGTTTCGTGGTGTCACAAAATAAACGGTTTACGGCGATATTTTTCATGGTTCTGATGTCCCTGTAGTGGCTGTATTCATTAGTTAAAGTTCTCTCTTTCTCTTATATTTAATATAACCACACTAAGGATGGACAAGCGCCTGTTTTTATGCGTTGTCGTTAGCAACAACGAGGGTAAAACCATCACGTGTCCGCTTGTTTATGTTCCACATAAACCTTTCACAATAAAGCTCAATCCGTTGAACTTTTCAAAATAAACTGAATCACGTGAAAGAGCAGATTATTTACGGATGAGAAGTAAAAAAGAGCCGTCAGGTGCTAAAAAATAAACCTTACACTCAAACGTTAGAACAGGCTTTCCCCGCAGCACGCCGTGTAATAAATACTCACAAAGAAACGGCGTCGTTACAACTTATGTCTAAAAATGTATCGTTTCATGCATCGGTTAAAACACTCAACTCAGCTACATGACGCCCAGCTGGAAACACTTCACGCAAGTCAAGCTGCCCGAGATTCACAGAATTTACAGAAAATGTTACATTTGTAATTTATATCGTTATCGGACGATAGATGTCTGATATCGGGAGATGAGATTTTGGTCATATCGCACAGCCCTACTGCTAAACTACCTACTGTTGGGTCTAAAGTCAGACCACGCTGATCCCAGAACTTATTCCCGTGAAAGAAAAACAAGGCAACGGCAATCGATCGTTTTACTTGCAAGGGAGGCCTTGTCGGTATCTCAGCTCATCACAAATAACCTCTCTCTCTCTCGGCCCCCTCTCACTCCCTTTTATTGGCAACGTTCACACAATAAACAATAGTTTACAACACATACCTTCCCCCGTAACCCCCCTTGGTTACAAAGACAAGGCACTGGGTGTGTGTGTGTGTGTGTGTGTGTGTGTGTGTGTGTGTGTGTGTGTGTGTTCCTGCTGATCAAAGGGTCATATAACATAAAAGCACAGTAGGAACATCCTTGGTCATAAAGAGGGTAGTCTCCCCACACCCTAGATGGTTCACCCTAGATAACACAGTGAAGCCATACAAAGGGGAGGAGGTTTGCTAACATCAAACAAGGGTGTTACTGTGATAAAAACACTACCACCCCCCCTCCCAGAATCTTAAGGATCTGGGGAGGGGAGGACAGAAAGAATTCTTTAATACTATGTACAAATGGTAAACATAAAAATGACAAACATTTAACATTTCAACTTAACACCTACTCAGCACCAAACAGACGAAAACACAACTGAAGAGCTCAGGAATTAAAATAGAAGCTAGAACTAGACCTGTATTCTTAAGGTGGATCCAAACACCTCTTTTAGATAATTATGGGTTACATGAACAAAGTTCCTCCACTTCTACAAAGTGTGACACAAACTGACTCAAACCTTTGTGGCGAGGCTCTTTGAAAAGCCACGACTCTGTTAGCGATTGGAGACAAAATTCAAAGTGTTTCGAAAAGAAGAGAAAACAGGCTTTATGGGGATATTATTCTATCAGTAGCACAAAGCCTTCACAAGGTACTAGAGTCTGAACACAGGCAGAAACGCAGCTCTGGCTAGATTTCTAAAGGTTCCTATAAGATGAGAATTAATTTGTAATTTTACGGCCAAAATGACAAAACAAGCCCAGGCAGCCTGTTTGATAGTTGGGTTGATAATGAAACATTTCCTTGTACTGTAGAACACAACGCTTTTCCATCGTTCTTAGGTGTTTATTTTACCAACTGAAGAAGTAGTGACTCCAAATGCCCCACTATTAAAAATAATAATAGCAAACTGGGAGGACAAGAAGACAGCAATGTTGAAAGTTTGGTATCTGACATGTCAGAGAGAAACCTGTGAATGAACAGGAAACTTACCCAGGGGGTCAGCCTTGCCATCCTTGTCAGGGACCGTGAACACACCCACCACCTTGTGCCCCTGCTTCCTCAGGTTGCTGTAGACCTCCTGACCAAACAGGCTCTGGCCAATAATTGCTAGCTTTAACTTGTTCTGGTAATGATGCTGTAAAGGGAGCAAAAACACACAAGTTTCAACTTCACTGAAAGCACATCAGACATACTGGAAACACTGCAAATGCTCATGCCCTAGTCTTTCTGCAGAAGAAGACTTTAGACACTTCACTACAGTTCAATAGATTTTATGCAACTTCCAGTAAGCAGTTATTTTACTTTGACCTACAGTACTGTGCAAAGGTCTTAAGCCACACCTCTTTTCTCTTGGAATGTAACTGGCAAAAATAGTTGTAACAAATTTGTAAACATAAATAGAAAAAAAACAGTTGTGTGGAAGAAACAGGAAAGCCAATATTTGGTAGGAACACCTTTATTCTTCAACACAGCCTGAACTCGCTTAGGCAGGAATTCTTGTATGTCGTTAAATAATCATCAGTAATTGTTCTCTACGCTTCATGAAAGATATTCCAAAGCTCTTCTTTGGAGGCGGGTTTCCTTTAGTTCTGTTCTCGGTCATGATGAAGTCAAACCTCTTCAACAACAACAATCAGAAGAAGAATCAGGAGGAGAAGAAGGCGGTGGCCCAGGCTCTGGGACGGCCCATCCATGACTGATAGTGTGTTTAATATCCAGTATATGTCGTGTGCGAGGGATCATGAAAAATGAAGCTGTTCCCAGGCACTTCCCAGATGTGACCGCACGCTGGACCAAACTCTGACAGTACTTTGTGTCCACCGGCTGGAACACAGCCCCGAGTATTTTAAACATGACTGAATACTCACCTCTGTATATACTGACTAAAGTTTGAGCAAAACTCTCCAATCTGTATTCATCCTCCACAATTACTGTCAGTCCAGTTCTTGCATACTTCATCCTTTTCTCCCTGTTTTCCATCCTTAACAATGGATTCCTGACAGCCACGATTCCACTGAGACTATTTCTCATCAGGTTTATGAAAACAGTAGACGAACCAACTGCAGGGCAGGCGCACTATTAGGTGCTGTGTGCAGGATTTGATCATTTTCTTACAGAACTAACATTCAGATATTGGTCATCTGCTGCAGATACTCTTTTATGCCTGCTTGTTCTTCTTTTGTCCTCCAGTTGTCTTGTTTTTTAAGAACACAGTGCACCTACAGAGATATCCCACTTCTCTGGCTAACAGCTGTTTGGGAACCACCTTGTTGGTGCAACATACTCTTTTATGCCTAAACATGCAGTTTAAAATGGGTTCAGCCATTCTTCTCTTGAATTTGGTCCTTTGTCCATGCCTGACTGATTCAAGTTGACAAACAAAGTGCTCTGAAAATGGTCAGGTTTAATGACTGGACTGAAAATGAGTAAAAATGTGGCCAATGTCCAAAGAAGGACTTTGAAAGACCTCCAAAGAGCCTGGAAAACTATAACTCAAGACCACTTTAAACTTTTTGAAAGCAAAATATAAAGAAACGATGGCGAGCTCACAAGTTTTAACAGCACAGCAGTTTCTGATTAAACTGACAGTCAAACTGGGGCAGCAGAAACCTCTTTGCTTCTGTTTCCCATAATATAACTTTTCACAACCAGGGCAAATGTCCGTCATCATTAAGCTTTTTTTCCCTGAAGTTACATATTATTGACTTTTTGTCAGACCCTTGTAATATTTTATTTTACACCTGTTCATTGCATATGTGAGAAATCCTTAAATCTCAACCTCCCTTGGCGGTCTTAGTGGCCTTTCACTCTGTTATTGGCTAAAGGCAGCTCAGAGAAAAGCTATTGGCTGATGAAGATTACAACCCTTACCCAGCAGTGACAAGTGCATGCCAGAACCTCCTCCTCATGTGTTAAGCATGGAGGTTTCAGGTTTCCCATGCACATATGTACGATCCTGTCAAGTGCACATTTGACAGGTCTGGCTGCTGCTGCACAGCAACTTCCAAGCGACACGGTAAATAGATAAGAAATGAAAGAGCCCGTCTGATGCTGCCTCTTTCAGCCCAGCAGGGTCGTAAGTAAGCCGGGCTCCAGCCAGTACACTGTGAGCCTCCTGTGATGATGATGCAACTCCTCCAGATATTGTACAGTAAAGGCCAGCTCCGTCCGAGCGCGCAGCGGGAGGAACAGAGGAGGAGGGCGCCGTTGACACCGTAACGTGGCAAAGTGTGCACCATCTTTTCCCGTGTTGGCTGAAAATACAGCAGCTGAGTGACTTACTAAGAATGAGTGCAGTCAGACCCGAGCCTGGCTCAGTCCTCCTCATGACCCGCAGACCGCTGCATGCGTTCAGCGCTACACAGACACATTTAGAGAAACGATGTTCGCGCAATCAGAGCAGCTCACGCATCAAACCCCGGTGATTGTTTGCAACGTTACTCACGGATGAAGTGGAGAATTTCCTCAAGACTTGACTCGCCGTCCACAACATAATGGCGCTGTTGTTTGTTTTTAATATATATGCGCGCGTGTGTGTTCAATGCAATAGAAACGACAATAAATCGAGACGCTGCCGGATGTTCAGAGCCCCCAGCTGAGGTAGGCGCGCTCCTGTCTTCACACGCTGCACCTTATGCTGCCCGTGTGAGCCAGACTCAGCGGCGGACCGTGGTGTGGGCTCGTCACAGCCAGCTTATACTCGACGGCAGCAGACGCGGTACGTCCTGCCTACTGTACCGGACGTGCGCGTTCCCGTGGTGCTTATTTTACCTCCTTGCCGGCGCGGTCACGCGTGGGAATTCGTCCTTCTCATGGTTATTGGTCATTGAGCTCGTTATACGTTGCTTTAGTCTGGGATTGTGAATGACTTAAGCGAATTATACATACATGTTTATCTCTGTGTATATTCAGTTACTGTCATAAATTCTGCCAAAAGCTAAACTGTGGACCTCTGAAAAAGATATTGACCATAATTCACATCAGAAAAACCAAAAATACGTTTTCCTGTCCTTTCTCTGTGTATCTGTCAAACAAACACTGAAAAAGCCCAAAATATCTACTCTGCTGTGCACCTGCCCAAACTCCCACGTAGAACAGGCTCTAATCAAACAGCTGTCCAGCACAGGTTCAAACTGACACAGGCTGCTGGCAGATCAAGCACTCATTTATTCCTGTAAGCGGCAAAGGGCAGTGCAATCCGTCTTAAAGCTGCCCAACAGACTGCATGCTGTCAGCCTAAAGTCTTACTATTAGTATAAGAGCACTTTTTCCAGTACAGTGATAAAAACAGCACTGCCTTTAATGATGTTATTATTATGAATAGCATCATTAAAAATGTCATGTTTTTCACCGAAACATGGTTGAACAACAGCTGCCCGGACAATGTTATCGAGTTAGCAGGACGCCACACACACCGAGCCGCAGATGCCTCCGGCAAGACCAGAGGTGGAGGTTTGTGCATTTATATTAACAATGCTTGGTGCATGAACTCCACTACTACTGAGAGTCACTGCTCACCTAATGCGGAGTTTTTAATGGTCAAATGCAGACCTTATTACCTCCCCAGAGAACTCACCTCTATCATACTCACTGCCGTGTATATACCCCCCGACGCTAATGCTAGGTTGGCCATGAAATAACTTTCTGCAGCCATTAACAAACACCAGAATAAACACCCCGAGGCTGCTTTTATTGTTGCTGGCGACCTCAACCACACCAACATGTCTCCTGCCACACCAGAGGAGACAGGACTTTAGACCATGTGTATTCCAACCTGGCTGGAGCCTACAAAGCCACACCCCTCCCCCACATTGGACAATCGGACCATCTCTCCCTGTTCCTCACACCTCGGTATTCACCACTCATCCAACGTGTGAAACCTGCTGTGAGGACAATTAAAGTGTGGCCAGAGGGGACAGACGCAGTGCTCCAGGACAGATTTAAAAACACAGACTGGAATATGTTCACCCACACAGACCTGGACCAGTACGCAGGGATGTGCAGAGAGGTTTAAAGGGGCGGGTGCTCAAAGTTAAAAAGGGGCACATTGAACCAGGCTGAATAACAACAACACACATTCATCAAGAATCTAATATGGGAAGGGCAGGGCTGTGCTGATCTGAGACTGTAGACATTAAAAAGTCCACAGGAGAGATGGTAGCAGATTAAACAAGTGTCATGAGATAATAACAAAATGCAAAGATTGGTGACAGCGCTTAGGCTCTGCCTGTGAATCACTCTTTGCTTCTCTTCTTCCTTCCTTCCCATCATTTCATATATCACTCTCCACTTGCTGTCTATCTGAGAACAAGGCACAACTTGCTATTGCAATAAACTATAATCTAATTATCCACACCTAACAACTCCAGCATCTAAAATAAAATGATGACAGAAAAATGTTATAGCCCTGCCTTTAGTAGCCTCACACAGCTCCTGCTGTTTCCTCCTCATGTCCTTACCAGGCATGTCTGCACAATGTTATATCATGAGTAATATTTTTTTTAAAAATCCATCTAAATAAAACACACACATGCACGCACACACAGGGACATTTTAGACCTTCTTCAGAATACTGTATATACTATGGGCATCACTGTGCTGATCCAGAATCCTTACATATTTATTACTAGAGCTACAATAATAAAGCAATGAGGAGGGGGAAGTAATAAATATGAAATAATGTATTTATGATGATTCCATTTGTTTCACTATCCACTCTGTGCAGGGCAAAGCTTATTACATCTTTAAACTGTAGAGATACAATCATTTTACTGCTGTAAAATCCAAATTTTGTCTTATTTAAAATATAAATCTAATATAATCTGCTTCTTAATGTATGTTCTTTAAAATACAGCGTGTGTTTTTAATATATTATAATTATAATAATGCATAATTATGTGGACATGCATATTAGATCGTTTTTTAGTGAAATATAATCCCTCCAGAAAGGCAGGAAAAGCCCTGTAACTTGCTTTAAAACTAAATACGGGGCGACCGTGGCTCAGGGGGTTGGGAATCGCATCTGTAACCGGAAGGTCGCCGGTTCGATCCCTGGGCTTTCTGTCCTGGTCATTGTGTCCTTGGGCAAGACACTTTACCTTACTTGCCTACTAATGTTGGCCAGAGGGGCCGATGGCACGATATGGCAGCCTCGCTTCTGTCAGTCTGCCCCAGGGCAGCTGTGGCTACAACCGTAGCTCAATGGCGTGTCCAGCGGGGTGGCCTGGGGGGCCAGTCTGGTTGGGGGGTGGCCTGTGCCCCCCCAGGCCACCCCCCCAACCAGACTGGCCCCCCCAGGTGCCACCCCAAAGGTAAAACAATAAAATTCAATCAAATATCAAATGTACGATAATGTTTTCACGGTGAAGCTCAGATATCCGAGTGTAAGCTATGCGCATCACGTTAGCAAAGGTAGGAGAGCCAAGCGCGAAGGACAACACTGCAGGAAACAATTTTTCGGTGAAAGAAAATGAGGACAGAATAAATGTCCCGGTAAGTAATATTAAGTTTGTTGAGTTTAGTAAACTTCGGTGAAATTAGAATACCAAGGAAAAAAATAACACTTAAAGAATTTTTGCAACCATCGAATATTTCAGACAGTATGCTACTGAGGGCAGCTAACATAAGAGTTATGAGTTATAAGATGCAGGTCGATGTGTAAAAATAACTCAGTGGTTTGGTGGTGGCTATGGCGGGGCTTCCACAGAGGCCAGCAGGTGGATGAGGGAAGGGAAGCAGGAGGAGAGCCCGAGGCGGCCACCAGTCCGTGTGTCAGGTGAACTGAACTTCAGGTAAGAAGTTATGAGCTGCAGTCTATCTGGGTCAGATATAAACCAAGTTTAGGTGGAGTTTATATTCGTTGTGCTGACTTTTTACAGTTAGTTACAATACCTCATACTGCGTGAGCTAGCATGACGAGTTTATACAGCTGTTCGGTTGCTATGATGTTACTGATAGTGAACTTTATTTTATTCATAAGGTTAGTTAGTAGAGTTGCCAACAGCTCCTTAAAAATGGAATGGTCCCTCATTCATAGAAAATATTACGCGTTTGGTATTGAGCTGAGAAGAGACGCAGTTTGTCCCGGACTTCAGCTAGAATGGAAAAAGACACAAAACTGGAGTTATTCTGTCTTTACGCTGCACAGCTGCCTCTTCTCCTCTCATTCTCTCTCCTCCCTCTCCTGTTGCTACTTCAATCATGAAACTGATCAATGATCAGCTGATCGTCTCTCTTGTTTGTTTATCACCCACTTTGAGCCAGAAAGAGGAAACCAGCAGATGTCGCGCTAAACAGCAGCAGCACGTTTAAGCTTGATCAGCTGTTGTTAGAATTTATTTAGTTAGAATGTTTGCTGGAGCTACAGCTGTAAAGCTGTAAAGCTGCTGGTCATGATGTCGGTTTGGATATGTGGTGAGAGGGAAACATGAAGATGAAACCAGGAGATGTCCTTACTGAATCATCAGAGCTGAACAGGTGATGGAGAAACAGGTTTACCTTTTAGGTGACATGAATGAGTTGAAGTTATGAACTGTTTCTGAGAGATAAATAACACCAGGATCCTTTTTTTATGTAGCTGACAGCTGGTAACTGTGCAGGGGCGGGTCTAGCAAAGTGTTGCCAGGGGGCCAGGTAGGGCATTAACAGGGAGAGGAGGGCACAAAGAAATACTTTTCTTTTTTATTCTCATTTAAAATATCTAGCTTTTATTAAATAATTATCTGAATCTTGCGAAGAAAGTTTTTATCTGACGTAAAATGTATAGAAATCATACATATACCAAAAAGACTGTACATCACTGTCACAACAGCATTTGTTTTCATTCAAAGGCTTTATGGCTTTAATACCTGGTGGGCCAATCTGTAGTGAAAATGCCCAATTTTTTTGTCCCAGTCCAGCCCTGCAGGTTAATACTGGCAGTGTCACCATGCCAGCTGACTGCATTTCATCATCAGCCAGTGTTGTTCTCAATATTACCAAAGTAAGGCAGCATATAAAGTATTTACTTGCTTTCAGGTTTTATTCAAATGTTAGTCTTTTCAGTTGTTTCTCCACTTTTTTCCTGTTTCAAAATCAAACACCAGTTTGTGAGAAGATTATCTTCTTTTTTTTTTTAACAGGCATTGGTTTTGCATTGGAATTGGCTAATTTGCCAATTGTATGTTAAAAATGTTCGTATTTTAATATTCAAAAATGTTTTTGCCCAAAACACATGTGCACTACATGTCAGTAAAAATACTATGCAAATATTGATGTCCTTGAATGCTGAATAAACACTGACTGATTGTATCTCTTGTACTTAATCAACACAGTATCTAAACACTTTGCACCGTAGTGGTTAAAATCTCATTCTAATAAGGTTACGGTTATTAGGTTTACAGGGTTATTGAATTATGGTGAACGGTTGGTAGAATTGTTTTTAACATTATCTGCCAATTACATCTGCCACCCTTCTCCAAATCTGTGCCCCTACCTGGCCCCCCCAACAAAAATTTTCTAGACACGCCACTGTACAAATGCACAAAAAGACCCCAAAAAAGAAATCTTTCTACCTTCTGCAAAGTTCATCGCCCCAGAAAAGACAAGTCAAAACAAGTAAAAAAAAATAAAAATGTAACAGCCTCCCGATTATGACCGATATATCATTTACGTCACTGATACATCCGTAACTGAAATTAACTCAGAACAATTTGTTTATTTTTTT